TATGGTCTTTTGGGTGTACTCGTCTGATTGGTTGAAGCTGGTTGGAATGCAGTTAAGTATAAAAAACACAGGATCGTTTTCCTGCTAGCCTGGGTTTCTAAACCGACCTCTTTCCTTGAAAGCGACTCTGGCAGGCAAGTCCTCTTTATTTTTAAATAATTTTGTGCTTTGAATTTCTGGATCCTCCCTTATAGATTTTTCAATATTGATATTATCATATCTTTATTAAATTTTTACCTGATAAATCTTATCTTATCTGTTTTTGAAATATAAATATTATATTTTTAGTTTTTTTATTTAATTGTTGGCCTCCATTTTTGTGTGAATTGCTTATTGGTTAGTGCCACGTTGTGTTAAGAAAGAGGTAAGTCAAGGCAGATTTTTGGGTTTTAGATAGGTACTGCTGCTCTGGCTTTCAGAATTAATTTTTAGTGTGGGAAAATTGGACCATTTGCTCTAAATAGAATCGGTGAGAACCAACTTTGTGAGTCCATCCCCATTAACTCTTTATTGAATCCAGGCAGAGGCCTGAACAGCCATTTTCTGTTTGACTCCCTAAATTATTACCTCAACTGAAGGGTGTAATTTTTTAATAGAAATCAAGACAGGTCAAAAATTCAGTAAAAAAAAAGTTTTTAATTTAAACATCTCAAGAATTTTGACACATTCTGGATTTGATCAATTTCAGCCCTAGGTTTATCTAGTATCTGTGGTAGCTACCTTAACTCCAGAGGAGAATTTTGTCTATTTAGGGAAGAATCCAGAGATTTCATTTCTTATTTTTTACCTACCTTATTTTTGCTCGTATTTTTGGACTGCTGAGGAAAGCAGCATTTTTGCTCAATTATAACAAGCATTATTATAATCATTATAATTAAAAATCTTGTTATTATTTTATTTTACTATTATCATTATTTTATTATTATTCTTAATTATTCGATTGTTTTTTTTTTTTATATTAAAATATATATTTTTTTTCAACTTGCAATAACTGTTCATACCTGATTGTGTTGGAAGGGTGTATCTGTACAACAATAATTTTATATTAAATTTCAATTTAAATTTTCTTTGCAAGACGCTCACTCTTTTGCAGAATTCAGGGATTTAATATTCCAAATATTGGTGAACCTGATTCTGCCTTATTCTTTCCTGGGTACCTACTCTACATAAATATCACTGTTTGGAGTCTGGATCAGCTGGAGTGACGTCACTCCAGGAATCTATCCTCTTCCTGGATACAGGAAACAACATGAACAGCTCCAGTTCACGAAAGTGAAACCCCAACACCCATTGAAGAGCTCCGGATTGGAAAGCAGGTACTGGGTATCAGATTCACCAAGAAAAACCAAGCTGTTAACACTGAAATTGACTACATAATATTGTACACTAAATAAAATTATTGTTTGTTGGATTTTGAGTGGTTTCATTCGCACACAAAGGGGCTACACGTTATCTTAATTTTTCTTTGAATTCACGACTCTAGGTTATCTTTTCTTAAAGTCACAAATTCACTATTTTATTTGTAACAGCAGCAGCTTCAAATTGTCGGATATACATGGTCCAGGACGTAGAACCGTCAAAAGTTGGTGGTTTTATCTTCATACTAGAGAATGCTCCAACACTACCTGCATTGATGGACTTATTTCTAATTTATTCAACTTATCTTTAAGTGCTTGAACTTAGTCCTCAAGCCTTTATCTTAATTGCTGAACAACATCTTTAACTTAACTTCTTGAACATCTTCTTTAACTTCGGCTTAAACCTTAATATTCTTTTCCAGGATAGCGACAGATCCTTGTATGGTTTGAAAGGTTTTCTGCAGTTGCCCAATGTCTTCTTGCCGTTCTTGTTGTCTCCTAGCCTCTTCTTGTAGTCGTCTAGCTTCATTTTCTTGTTTGTCTTTTTATCTTTTAGCCTCTTCTTGTTGTCTTCTAGCTTCTTCTTCTTGTTTTTCTTGTTGTCGTTTAGCTTCTTTGTCTTGTTTTTCTTGTTTCCGTTTGGTCTCTTGAAGTTCCGACATGTTGCGCAGAAGTTCTTAAATTTTTTCATTCTCCCATTTTTGCTTGTTGTCTCGTAATTGGCACATACATTTCTTGGAATGCTTTTTCTGGATATCGATTGATATAGCAAACACGTCGGTGAGGTCACAAATTGGATATCTCCCTTGGTTTCCAAATAGAATTTTCTAGAACTTACTTGAAAATTCAGTATCACAGTCAAAATCGGGTATACAGTCACTTGAGTCACTTCCGGGGTGATTTACACAATCGGTTAAGTCTCCTTTTGTGATTGTCACTGCTTACACTGACTAATTATCCAATTGTTCACTTAGTGTCCACATTTGTGTCCAGAGTACTCTGCAATCTGATTTCACTTTGCAGTACTCGAATTATATCTCACTTCCGATACCAATGTTACGGCTCTTGGGTGCTTGACAGAAATCTTAGGTCCGTTTATTCAAAATCAAATTCCAATTAGCACAACAATAATTTATTCCACGTTACTACACCTTCTGACACTAATTACTTCACTTATTAACTCAAACAACTCAACTCTTACAATAATTACTATCTAAAACGTATCACAGCAGGTCTTAAACTTAAAAACTACTAATTAAAACCGGCCTCTATATATCCGTATTTCATTCTTGTTGAATCCAGAATAAACGCGATAATCTCTTTTCCTGAAAAAGGCAGTAAATTCTAGATTTCAGATTTGATTTTGTACTCCGCGAAAGCGCAACAATATATTTTCAGCTCACTATCATCCAGAGCGTGTGTCGTCACACCACAGCCACAAACTTGTTGCCATCGATATCAACGAAGATTGCGAATCGCCCTACGCATTCCCAGTCGTCCTTGTATCGTAGAAAGGCGAAACTTCGCGTCTTTGCGTCGATTATCGCCCACTGAACGCTGTCACAAAACAGCTTTTATCACGCCCTTTGACCTTTATCGATATGAGACGATGCAACCAGCAACATTCCGAAAGTTAATAAACCGGTTTGGTTCAAGTTTGCCGCTATTGCAGCTATTATCCATCTTGCCGAAGAATTTCCAAACAAGTTGTCAACAGAGGTTTCGTAAGAATTTTTCATGGTTCCGTTGGTTTATTCCGAACTTTGCCAACGTCTCTAGACCCAGTTAGTAACTTGACATCCAATGTTGTTATGTGTGCTTAAGAACCTCTTTGTAATAGGGTAAAAATCAAACGAGAAGAAGCCACACGCATTATCGTTTGTCTCACTTTAAATGGGAAGGACCCAATGAAAAGGAAATCTGCCTTCTTTGTCATAGCTGACGTCAATGGCTTCTCGTTTAATTTTTACTCTATCACTTTTTTAGTTGAGGAAAACCACGTATTTGAAATATTATTTGTTTACATCCTAATTTTTTAAAATGTTTACTATAGAAAAGCAAATTGTAAATTTTGCGAAAATGTATGCGCTGTCACTTAGGGGCGAACGAGTACGCGCCAGCCCACAAAAAGTGTTCCGAAGGGTAGACGAAAAATGAGAGACAGGGGAAGAAGGTTGTCCGCCATTGTTCATTATTCAAGTTTTTATTTTGTATTAAACTGATTGTTCAATCAAGTTTGTGATTAGTTTGTGTGTCATAAGGAACACTCACAGGTCAGTTGAATAAATGTTACGTTTTTTTGAGAGTTCAATTTATACGTATTATTTTTTTATTTGTATGTATTTTTTTATTTACTTATACCATATCTTAAAACTTGTGCATTATTCAGGTATTTAACAAAAATCGTTTCATGCTGTGAACAACGCAGAAAAAAACTAAATTAAAACCTAAAAAATTTTGTGCTGTCTTTTGTGCTGGGATTTCAATTTTTGTATTCAGAGCGTGCATTAGGGCCTTGTTGAATCTACTAACACTTTCCTACCCTGACAGAGCGAATATCCTAGCGAACAAATTGAAGGATCAGTCTAGAGATAGTGGCTCAAAAATAATAACTATAGCTGAGTAGCCTCCCGAACGGACCTCAGTACCTGCTGGTGAGACTGTCTTACTAACATATAACTCTTCAGTATTGAATGAAGTATGTGGGATTACAAATTTTAACACAAGGACGGTACCTAATTCAAACTATTGAATTGCAACCTATTGAATTACAATTACATATTATTATTATTAAAATGTCACAATATGTTTTGATTTTTTGAGGAATGGAGATCGAGGGTTTCTCTGCCGTGCTCTTTCCCCTCGTGAGTTCCAGGTTGAGAATGGTATAATTCTCTTTAATATTAAATTGGACGTTTCACAAATTTCTCGTTTATTTTAGACATCACAACTTTCCTCAAATTTCCCTAATTTTATATTGAGTAAGTTTCGACCACGTAGGTATTTGTTTTTCATTTCGTTTTTTAGAAGACTTGTTACAAGAAGAGATAAGAAAAATTCTAACCGTTCAAGCTTGCTGAGCGGACCCGGGTATGTTATACTACAGTTAAGGTTTTGTCAACAAGATAAATTTATTAGATAGACATATTTTTGGTTTGATTCGATTTGACAAAGACGAATATGCTTCATGATTATGGAACTAACATGAAAGTTATTCGACAAGTTTATGCTATCGATGCATGTTTGCTCCAGAGGGAGATGAAAGACCAGTCGTGTACGACAGACGTTTACTTACATGTGATGAGAGTGTTGATCGAGGAGCCCTTGCAATTTTCTACGCATTCAACACTTTTTGCGAATACATAAAAACTTTATTGGGAAACTGATCATTTAAGATCGCCAATTGGAAGATGTCGACCTAAAGATTGACTACATCTCAGGACACACAAATGTTGTCGCAACGCAGATATGTTATCAAGACCTCCTAGTCCCCTTGACTCGGATAACAAAGTCACTAGTAGGTTTTCATTGATAATAGTTACCTTCTTTGATTTTTACTTATGTAGATGTGTTCATTCAAACAAAATGAGTTGGTACCAGGGTACCAACTCAAGACAGGTCTTTAACCAATAATTCTGGGCATTATCCGTAAAGATGGCCAACAATTATTTTGCAAAAAAAAAAATTGTTTAAAAAGGGGTTTTTTGAAATTTTGCTTACCACTGAATAGTTATTGCAGATAGTTTTTGTTTTTTTGAAGAATATGAGTTTTTCTTTTTCATTTGTAAATATAGATATAATGTTGAGATCCTTTTTTCTATCCAATTTAAAGTCTAAGTGTTCTCTAGAAAGAAAAAATCCATCTTCTTTAGTAGAACCAAATGCTAAATGTAAAATCTGAAATTGAAAAAAATATATAGGTAATTTTTTTTATACGTGGTTCTGCTATGTGTACATACATTCAGCTAATAAAAATTCATTAATTAAAAATTCATCGATCTATAAAACTGACTGACTGATTGGTTTCTCTTTGGTTGGTCTATCAGCTGTAGATTTGAGAATTTTTGAATTTGGGACATTACTTTATTATTTGCTAACTACATTGACATAGGCATTGCATGCATTACATTTTGATAGATCACGTGAATTATTGCAAATTTATGAATATATAATTTTGATAACATAGGAACTAACCTGACTTCTTTGTAGCATATTAGATCCCACTACTAAGTTACATTTAGTTTCAGTAGTAATGCTATTGTCCTCGACATTTTCTAGATTCAAACTACTGAGCACTCTTATATCTGGCTGAATCAGTGGTTGATCACCCAAAACATCACTAATGATTTCACCTACAGAATAATTAGGTGTTATTTTACTTTAAAGAAAAGTTCCTTTTCATCTTTCGCAGACAATTGCTAACAAATAAACGATGTTGAACGGAATTGGTAAGCAATAAATAAAAAAAAAAACATCCCCCACAGTATCCAAAATTAATAGTTTTCATGACATGCTACAATATAGGATTTTCGTGCTAAATTTGGTTGAAATCCGTTTAGGCATTCTTGAGTTATCGTGTATACGGACAGATGTCGATAGACAGCCAACCGACAGGAAAAAATAGCATCAATAGAGAAAATTTAGACAAAAATACAAAAAAAAAAAACGATACAATCATTGACGAGGTACAATATATGGAACACAACTAAATACATAAAAAACAAAATTATTTCAGTCAACTGAGCAAATGCTACAACGCAATAGGAGTCATATGTCAACATGGCAAGATCGAGCACAAGAATTCATGTTACAACAGAAAAACTTTTGAGAAATAATTGAATCAAATCGACTAACCAATGAACTTAATATTTCGCTGTCAAAAATCACGTAAGTTTTTATGGACGCTATGAACAATCACTGGATGAGCCCCAAGAGGTTCAAGACACAGACAAATTCATTAAGTTTGCGTATACTAGATTCCAATCACTTGAAAATGTGACAAGGCTTTTCAATAGAGCGAAAAATACCAAAAAAGCGACTGACTGGGATGCGTATAAAGTACATTGAGCGCAGTATAAAGGGGAAATTCCCAGATCACAGAGAGAAACTTGGAGACATTTCTGCAGTGATATACACAACACTACAGCTGCAGGGCCGGTATTCTCGTTCTCGAAAACGCTCATCGCTTTTCAGTCGCTCGGCACTTTCAATGTAAATTTGCATTTAAAGTGCCGAGCGACTAGAAAGCGATGAGCGTTTTTGAGAACCAGGAAACCGGCCCAGGTCTGCTGAAAAAAGAGGATGGTACATATACCACCACTTCAGCTGAAACGACCTAAGTTCTTACAAAGCACATGTTTCCCGACTGTGAGATCTTAGAAAATCACACCTGGAATAACCCTAAGACTGTCACTCCTACGGAGGTTGATTGGCTGGTGGCCCAGGAAGTGGTTGGTGAGTTAAAAATCGAGGAAGCAATCAAAAGCTTCTCTCCATATAAAGCACCAGGGCTGGACGGGATATATCCGGTGCTCCTACAGTGGGGTCTGAATATTAATTTAGACCAACTACACCTTTTCCATAAGTATTTCAGAATGTATCACTTGTATTTCAGATTCATCAATTCTAGTTCAGAATGCGTCAATTGTATTTCAGTTGTGTAAGTTCAATTTCAGAAAGTGTTATTTGTATTTCAACTTTGTCAATTGTAGTTCAGAAAACATCATTTGTGTTTCAGATTCGTCAGGTGTATTTCAGAAAAAGTCATTTGTATTTCAGAAATCGTCATTTGTGTTTCAGATTATTTATTTGTAGATCAGAAATTGTAAATTTTATTTCAGAATTCGTCAAATGTATTTCAGATATTATCAATGTAGTGTATTAAATAAAATTTATAATGAGTCACCTATACACCTATCTTGTGTTGATTTGGGGAAATCTGCGTGGATACCTACTAATTTCCGAACTACATCTGACAATTTCTGAAAAACAATTCACGTTTTCTGAACTACAATCAACTAATCTGAAATACAATTGATGCTTTCTGATATAAAATTAACTAATCTGAAATACAATTGACACTTTCTGAAATAAAATAAACTAATCTGAAATACAATTGATTCTTTCCCAGATAAAATTATTTATTCTGAAATACAATTGACGCTTTCCGAAATACAATTTACTAATCTGAATTTCAATTGAGGCATTCTGAAATTAAACTGACGATCTCTGAAATACATATGGAAGAGGTGTAGTGCTTATTTTCACAGCGTGTTTTGCTCTGGCAAACATACCTGAGAAATGGAGAGAGGTAAAAGTAATCTTTATACCCAAGCAAGCCAGACAAAACTGATTATGCTAAGGCCAATTCATACCGCCCAATCAGTCTCGCATCCTTTTTATTTAAGGCTCTTGAGAGACTGTGCGAACGAAACTTAAGGGAAGGACTCCCTTCACCGAAACCAACATGCATATACAATGTGTCCGAGATAAGGAGGGCCAGTATGGGGATCCAGTGGCGGATACAGGGGGGGGGGGGGCAGAGGGGGCAATTGCCCCTCACTTTTCAAAAAAAAATAAATAATAAAACAAAAGCATATTTTAAGTTTTGAGAATGTTTAGAAAGCTGGAAACCTATAAAAAAATCACACTTTTGTCCCAAGAACTTTAGGACGGTCGTTTTTTGGATGCGTTTTCGTATGAACTGCATTCGTCAGAAAACGGACGAATAGTTTCGTCAGATTTGGAGTGATACGGAGGATTGTCTTTTGGAAAATAATTTTCTTGTTGGATGGCGATTGTTAAAAAAAAAGGGCTGGGTTAGGTTAGGTAATGATATTTTAGCAAAACGAAAACAATTCGGAGAATTTTCAGGTCAATTCAACTGTCACAATTTTTTCTGCATGCTCATGTAATCAATGTGACATGATTTGTCGATCATCAACTTTTTGATAACCATTGTCTTCTCAGCAGCACAGACAACAGACAACACACACAAATGTCACAAATCATCAGAACTACTGCGAAAAATCCCATTTTTTCGGATTAATCGCAATCGCATGTTTTCTGCCGAATTCGCACGAATAATTTCGAGTATAATGTATGATCGTCATTAGGTTTCACTGAAATGGGATAATTCGCACTTTTTCGTCCGATTTCTGACGAATGCAATTCGGACGAAAACGCATCCGCACAATGTGCCGCCAAAACTAACCCAAACTAACTAAACTAACCCAATCTGGCTTATTTTAACTTAAAAAGTCGCACAATATTGTGCTCATTGAAACGACGCTTTGATATTTCGAAAATACCGAGTGTTACCGGAGATATCGGGAAAAAACCGAAATTCCCCCAAAATGATTTTATTTATTCCTGACCTTTTTTGAAGAGATATTTGGCACTTCATTATGGCCACTTTGTCTCCTCTACAAGATGCCACCATCTGACGTTTCGTTTTCGGGCCACCATCATCAACTTTTTTTTTTTTAAATGTGGACCTTTATTTCTTATTTTAGATATTATAGGCTTCTGATGTCTCAAAACCAATGACGTATTGCACTTTTCGGAAAAATTATATTATTGGCAATTTCCATACGAACTAAATGTGTTAGAGAGAGACAGAGAAGAGAGTTTTGATAGGAAATTACTAAAAAGTAAAAAAAAAATTTTTCGAATAAATGCGATACGTCATAGGTTTTAGGACATCAGAAGCTCTTAAAATTTGGAATAAAAAATCCAGGGTCGCATTGAAAAAAAAAAGTTGATGATGGTGGCCCAAAGACGAACCGTCAGATTTTGAATTTGATGGTGGCATCTTGTAGAGGAAGAAAAGTGGCAATGATGAGGTGCCATTCATTTTGAAATATATCTCTTCAAATAAGGTCAGGAAAAAATAAAATCATTTTGGGCGAATTTAGTTTTTTTTCCGGATATCTCCGGTAGTACTCGGAATTTTTTGAATATCAAAGCGTCATTTCAATGAGCACAAAATTGCACAATTTTTAACTAATTTAAGCGACCTCGTATCTCTCACCGTTTCCTAGATCCCCATACTGGCCCTCCTTATCTTGGACACATTGTATACCAGGAAAATCCACGGAGACTGCTCTCCACGCAATCGTGTGTATCAGGATTAAACAGTCTCTGGATTGGAAAATGTCCACCCTGGCAGCATTTATTGATATCGTAGGAGCGTTCGACAGAACGACCTTCGATAATATCAAACAAGCCCTAGCTAGACATGTGGTTCCACCTATCATCACCAGATGGATAGAGAGGATGCTATGCTGGCGGGTCGTGAATGTTGATACAGGGGATACCACTAACAATGCTCTGGTTAAGGTGGTGTGTTATCACCGATCCTCTGGGATCTTGTGGTAAATAGCCTCCTACATAGCTTAAATGATGCAGGATTCCCTACTATAGGTTACGCAGATGACTTGTGCATTCTGCTTACAGGCAAGGTTGAGAGCGTTCTATACGATCTCATGGAAACAGCTCTCAATCAAATTTCATCTTGGTGTGAGAAGCACTCCCTGACGGTGAATCCACTGAAAACGGAGTCGATCCTCTTCATCAGGAAAAGAAAGCTGAGTGGTATGCAAATACTCAGGCTAAATATTACTAGTCTACAGCTGACCCCAGAGGTCAAGTACATGGGAGTTGTGCTTGATCAAAAACTCAGCTGGAAAAGACATATTGAGGTAAAAACGGAAAAAGCGAACATGGCCATGTGGCAGTGTCGCAGGGCGATGGGCAGGTCATGGGGCCTCACACCCAAAATCGCCCCGTGGATATACACCGCTATCATAAGACCAATGGTTTGCTATGCAGCTCTTGTCTGGTGGCCCAGAACCAGACAAGTAAAAACGAGGACCCTCGATAAAACGCAACGACTTGCGAGTATCGGGATCACGGGCGGTATGAGAACCACCCCGACGAGGGCAATGGAGGCGGTCTTGGATCTGCCACCTCTGCACTTGTATGTAGAGGAGATGGCCTTTTTGACCGCCTGCAGATTAAACCCCTTGGGCTTGTGGTAGCACGGAAATCGAGTGGGGGGACACTGCCGCATACTAGCGGAAGGGTGCAGAAATGCGCCCCTGCTGGGTTCGGCGCTGGATCGCACGATGCCCACACAGATAACAAAAAGATCCTACAGTGTCTGGGTGAGGCGCAGGCTATCCCAACGGTCTCAATATACACGGACAGATCGAAAACCAGTAGAGGAACAGGAGTGGGTGTTTTCTCACCTGAACTGATCCTCCGCATAAGTACCTCCCTTGGTGACCACACCACCGTCTTTCAGGCGGAATTGATGGCGGTCATCCAGGGCGCCAAGATAGCCATCGATCAAGAAATCGACGGCGAACGAGTGCGATTTCTAACGGATAGTAAATCCGTGCTGTCGGCCCTTGACAGCGCTGGAACAAACTCAAAATTATGCAGTGTATAGAGGCTCCAGAAGAAGTCGCAGATCTCCGGGGAGGAGAATGCGCCTTATCAAATGAAGGTGACACAGAGGGCCCTAAGGCGAGGTCTAGTGTCAGTGAGGTAACTCACCCTCCTTTGCAACTATTCAGATCCAGATCCAGGTACAAATCACGAGAAATTCAGGCAATGCAAAAAATCTGGCTCTGAATCTGAAGCATATAGACGTAGTAACTGGCACCCAAATGCCAAACAAATAATATAAGCCATATCAACCCGTCATAGAAGAAGCTAGCACCATGGCAAAAGGTGGTGCTTGATGTGTCATCAGGAATTAGTCTATGTACGTCTGGACCAAGACTACCAGATTTAGAAGACATTCTGCTGTAGTCAGATGCCATAAGATAGTAATAACGGCCCATCTAGGAAAAATGTACAGGCAGATAAAAATACATCCTGATGATCAACCGATCTAGATAATTTTATGGAGATTTGATACAGTCGACCCAATACAACAGCAAAATCTGACAATATATTTTACCACTTCAGCACCATAGGTGCAGACATGTAGAACAACTTATTCTTCCAGGATAGACCAACCAGACTCACGAAAATAATTAATTAAATCCAGGAATTCTACGATGCATCCGGAAGTGAAATCAATTGGATTCTACCACCGTGACATTATTAACCATCCAGTACTCTTTGCTAAGCTGCTGAAAAAGACAGTCAATGTACTATCCAATCAGTAAACAAAAGCTTTGGTTACCTTGGATTGATTCCATGATTGCGTTATGCGACCCAATATGATGAAAAACATTTGTAACAAATCGCTTATCAGAAATAAATAATATGATTCCATGTCCGAAGAGAAGATAATTCACCCGTTATCATTTCAAGAGGAATGGAACAATCAAAATAAAAAATCACGCAATATGGAGGCACGGCCTCAAATGATTTCAATCAGAAATTATAAATAAACTAGCTGAACCGGCGAACTACGTACCGCCTATGAATTATTAAATACCTATTAAATGTTGTGTTAACGTATCTAGTAGATGAACTAAATTCAGTTTTTTTCAATGGTGAATTTGGCCTTGGTTGAAGAAAACTAATGTTTACTCTCTGGATCAGAAATCACCTAAAATTAAAATTTTACATCATTTGGATATTGATTTCAAATAGGGTGCCTCGCTTGGATCATAATCGCTCTCGGAGCACTTCCGCAGAAATCTGTGACGTCACCGCCCAAATAGAGAACGCTCTGGGAGCAGTAAAGCCGAAAATGCTATAAGATAATACTGTTACGTCGGTTGAATGGAATAAACAAAAATAAGTTGAGTTATGTAGTGGTGAGAAGCAAGAAAAAATTTAAAAAATTTGGGGTGGACCACCCTGATCACTTAGGGGTATAAAAATTAGCTTAAAACCTATTCTCAGACCTACCGAATATACATATAAAATTTCATAAAAATCGGTAAAGCCGTTTCGGAGGACAAAGGTAACTAAAACTGTGACATGAGAATTTTATATATTAGATTATTTCTAGCCAAATGATATCATACAGTCCATGAATGACATGATATTAGAATTCACATCCTTAACCAAAGTCCCTAGAGTACGAGCAACCTTTAGCCGATTTATGATTCATAGACAATTGTGAAATAAATACAAAAATTTCAGGATGGTTGTCAGTCAAAAAATCACAAGCAGTGTTAGCACAGCATGTTAGTACAATTAACAAAAACGCAACAAAATATCAAGTTTGTGTCCATTACTGGACAGCAATAATATGCTACGTGTTGACGGCAGAAACACTACTATAGGAAATATATTACAGTAATTTGACCAAGTTGATCAGAACTGACGCTCTTACCAATATTCTCCACGGTAGAAATAAATTATATTAGAAGAAAATTTTGGATTATTAACGGCAGAAGAGTTGATTGAAAATCTTCCAGAAGCTAACTGTTATATAATTGAAAAAAAATTATGAAGAAATGACTAAAATAATCACAATCTCAATTTACGCCTTCTATGGCTACTCAGTAGTGACTCAAACGAGTTATCTTTTCTAACACTACCTCATTCCCTAATAGGATAACCGTTGGTAGAACCCCTTGTTAAGACACCTATAAACTCAAATGTTAATGAATGGTATAAAATATAAAGAAAATGGACATGTAATTATATACACCAGTTGTACGACGGTAAAATGAAAGAATCAACAAAAGAATCCAGAGGTTGGGGATATGGTTCTGCTAAAAGAACGAGATGTTGATTCCCGCAAATGGCCGCTTGCTAAAATAAGACAAGCCCAGCAGATGACAGTACAGGGCGAGTCGTAACAGTAGAGGTTATGAAGAAAGGAGTATGAGTCTGTGGAAAATTGCATTTTTTGCATCTCATTGCATCTATCAACCTTCGCGAGGCTTAAATTGGTCTGTTGGTGTTTAGGTGATGTAAAAATTTCTAATATGAATTAACTAGGTACACATTAATACCAATACCTAAAGGTTCACTTTCTGGCCGTGTAGCGTCATCAATCAACTCAGCAACTTTAATCTTATAACTCATTAAATTTTCTAGCAAAATTTGCATGTTCACTCTTATGGCATTTTTAGTCGTCAACGATGTCTGGTTCGGTACAAAAACATGTTTTTCCACAACAGGAATGCCTAGATCTTTTCGTCTTGCTATCCAGCGAGCATGTAGTCCACTGATTTTTATATACCCAGACCTACAAAAGAACCGAAAGTGGATACTTGACACGAGATACATATTTATCTAATTAGGTACCGTATAATCCCTGTCTCCTTCGATAAAGTAACTGGCATGATCGAATTTCGCTCCGCATAAACTGTGTGTCTTTTGGCATCAATAACAATTCGCCGAATACTGGTTGGAACATACAATTGTCTAGTATCTTCTTGTAAAATCTTCATTTGAAGCATATTATCCAAAAAAGTAACCCAGTTGTTCTCCCATTTTATGGTACCTTTTCCTCCATTTGAGCTGGCAGAATGTATTGCTCTGAATTTTCCACTGTTAAAAACGATTTTTTTCTTTGAGAGACGATTGCCGATGTTTAAAAATATAGAAAATTAAGTTTTTTTTTCTACCCTCGAAATATGATTACCAAGTGACAAATAGGATTTCGTTAGGTACATACAAATTTTAAAATGTTGCTTCTCTTGCAACTAAAAATCCCCTTCTTCAGTTTGGTTTATTATTTGACTTTGAATGAGAAGGGGAGGCATTCACTATTTATGTATTTTAAAAAATTATATATCTGAACTACATAATTAGGTACTCGAGTTTGTTCATACAATTTTGTATAGTAGGTGTGAACTACAGGCACGCATGTTTGAGGCCTGTCGGTCGGGTGGAAATTAAAGCAAAAGGCGCCCTGATACATGAATAACAATTTTTTCTATACCAAAGTACGATTTTGTCGAAATTCCCTTCAAGGCTCGCTATTGAGAAACCGCAATAGCGAGTCACTCCCGGCTTAAGCATAACTCCAGGGTAAACATAGCCATAGGCGTATCCAGGATTTTGGTTTGGGGGGGGGGGGGGCTCTGTCAACAAAAAGTGCTGACCAAAAAAAGAAAAAAAAAACGCTGCACATAGTCTATTTTTACGACATATTGATCATCATTTTACTAGGTAGCAATGGGTTTATCGATAATACCTATCCTTTCTTTTCTTATAAAGTAGTAGACAACGAAAATAGGTCATAGCTAGTGAGTTGTGAAATAACTAGGAACCTAGTTTTATGTCAGCAATGTTTTGGAATGATTTATTAATGAGAAATTCAGCATCCTGGCATGTTTGGAAAAGTGACGTCCCTTTCCTATTCGATTTTCAAATCAATTAATTCTCAGAAATCGACGTTTTTTTTTTTGGAAAAAAGTATACAATACAGAGGTTTTTTCTCGCATCTAAAAATTTTTCAAATATTTTTCAAAACTGGTTCAAAACAGTTTCACAATGACGTCATAACTTCTTGGTGCGAGAAAATGGTTTGAAAACTTGGATTGTATTGTATTTAGAAACGGTTTGAACCAATTTTGTGTGGCGTCATGGGTTCGTCGCGAGAATATACTATTTCAAACCTGTTTTGAACCAGTTTCGAAAAAGTGGACGCGAAAAAGCAGCTTTTATGTTATTAGACGACTAACAGATTAATTTAAAAATGTGAAAGTTGTCTATTTTTGTCAGGAATTCACCTGTAACATACCTAAATGTTACGCCTCTGTTCTTTTTCTCGGGGCGACAAAAATGTACATGTCACAAAAAATACGCTGAAAAAAAAATCTAGACATGCCTTGGGGGGGGGGGGCTGCAGCCCCCCCCCCTGGACGCCTATGAACATAGCAACTGAACACGCTTACCCTGGGGTTGAAACCAACCCAGAAGTGACTCGCTATTGAGAAACCGGCCCTTATTTAATTTGGTACATCTTGTCAGGTTGTCACAGTCACAATTTCTATAACCTATTTCTCTTACTTTGTTATGGCGGTTTTACACCAAACCAACTGAATAGTTGAGTTGCAGTTTTTTTGCTGTTTTCAGTCAGAAAAAAATAAAAACTCCAACTTCAAAGAAAGAATGAAATGACCAGAGAAACCGTTGTCGTTTTATTTTTTAATTCAGTTCTTTGCCAGTCAAAAAGCAGGAAGTAGCTTGTATTTTCAAAAAATACATGTTTATTGGGAAACAAAAACGCTTTTTGATGTGTGGCTGGCTGTTGGTACGTGGTTTGGAAAAAAGAAGGAAAAGTTCACACTTCTTGACCACACTATTCATCTAGGTAGGTACACTGTTGACTGAATTGCAATACACGCAGCAACTCTTTGAAGTTACCAACTGAGACCGGGAGAAACAAAACAACAACTGTCGGTAAACTAGGAGCTGCCGAAAAATCTTCAAAAATCTGCAAAAAGTGGTGGTTTTGTCAGTTGGGTGTAAAACCGTCATATTTCGATTCGAAAATGTCGATATTTTGTATATTCAGAAATTAAATAAATAACATACCTATAATAATACCCTCTTAGTCTCAGTTCTTTGTAAACATCTTTTTGGTTCATATCCAGGGCACTTTCATTAAAAGTAGTAGGTAGTCCTTCCTCTAATAAATCGGTATCATTAACAGAAAGATAGATTTTTCCAGATACTACAGGAACTCCGCCTAAAAAACAATTTTACTTTCAGCTAATAGCGTCTAGGTACCAATTACCAGAAACACATATCGACAGTAGTAGACTTATTGCCTTATCGCCATCGACGCCATCTATCACTATTACATTGACGAAAACCGCATAGAAACGCGTCTGCGAATTTTTTTTTCTTTTCGCGATATATTATAACTGATATAGCAATAGCTAACCTTGTTAGAACTTGCTGTAGTAAATTTTTTCCAGTAGCAGATGTATGTACTACACTCGCGTATATCTTTTCTTCGTACATGATCTTTCTCACCATTTCATGATCAAAATTTGGAGATGAATTCAATATTTTTGCAATATCCAATAATAATAATTGTAAGTAGTTTTGTTTATTTTTTTTTTTTTAATACGTTTAGTGGCTCTGGTTTAAACCAACTGGCCAGTATCTCTCTTTGTTCATTTTTTTTTTTTTTTCTAACTACCTTAGGTACTAATTCGTTTTTTTTTTTTCACAGGTAACTACAAACTAAGACTAGCTTAGATAATAATATATATATATTTTTTTTTCCATCGTCTGTTTTCTATTTTTTTATTTAATTGACATTTTGTTTTGTTTTTTTTTTTTTTTTTTTTTTTTTTTTTTTTTTTTTTTTAATTACATCATAATAATTGATTATGAATTTCAGTGTTTCGATAGTATTTTTTTTTTATTTATTTAGTAGTTTTACAATGTAATATTTCTATGTGTAATGAATTTATATGATGATTTATATACTTGTATATTTTCTATACATATGAGATAATATAGATTAAAAGGTAAGTCTACTAAGTCTAATTTAAGGATATCGTCATAAATATTGGCTATATACATTCTATGTAAAATACAACCTAATATATAATGTTCTAAATCACCTATTTCTCCGCACTCACAATTTTCATCCTGTTGTAACCCAATCCTTTTCTTATGTTTTGGATATAGTGCGTGTTGATTTCTTAAGCGTGAAATTATTCTAATAAAGTTTCTGTTTGATTCGATGTGAAACCATCGATTTTTACGAATTTTTGGAAACATAGTTTTAAAAATCTGACCCTTATTTGATTTATCAAAAATCTCTTGCCATTTATCATACATTTGTTTTTTTGATATTCTAAAAATATCTGAGTGTGGAAGATAAAAATGATTTGCGAAATTTTCGATCTTTGTGGCGTCTTTGGCCAATTTGTCTGCAATTTCGTTTCCAGTTATTCCAATGTGAGCTTTTACCTACACTAGAGTAACTTTTTTGTTAAGATTTTTCAACTGTTTAGAAATATTTAGAATCTTGACTAAAATATAGTTAGTAGGAACTTTGTGAGTACAGTTTACAATAGTTTGTAGATAGCTCATGCTGTCAGTAAATATTACAAAATTTTGATTTTGGCTATATTCTACACAGTATTTAAGTGATTCCCATAGAGCCCAAAATTCTGCAGAATATATTGAAGTATTGTTCAATAATCTAAATTGCCTAGATATGTTTTTATTTTTATGAAAAAAGGCGCAACCTGTGTTATTATTCAAAAGTGACCCGTCAGTGGATTCTGACATTCTATGTCTAAGCATTTTGCCCGTTAGTGGCCATATCTTGGCGAAATAAGTTTTTTAAAATATGTGGGTCATTCTGTTCATAAGAATTAATTATGATGTTTGGAAGATATTTACCAAAATTTTCTTGTAGTTGTCCGTAAAGAGATATGTCTGATGAATAAATATTATCTTTTATATGGGTTTTTTTTTTTTTTTTTTTTTTTACGGATATGCGCACTCGCAAGGAAATGTCCTATCACGCTCGAGAAGCGGCAAGTGCGCGGAAATGTCGGTGTATGTTGGTCTTGAAACGGTTCAGGTTGTAACCTGCAGGGAAAACCGTCGCAGGGAGTTTATTCCACAGCGATGCTGTTCTCCAGAGATATGAATTCTGATATAATGCGGTTCTTGGTGCCTCTAGTTTGACATTAAATTCATGGTTACCGTCTGTTTGACGGGTTCGCCTGGTAGGTGCTACTCTCGGTGGAATCATACGTGCCAACTCTTCAGAGCATTTTCCGTGATAGTACCTGTAGAAGAGAGATAAATCGCCCACAGATCTGCGATGTTCGAGACCATCCAAGTTACGAGTAAGTGCGGGGTCATTGATCAGCTTGATAGCTCGTTTTTGCACGGTGTTCAAAAGCATTAAGGTATGTTTGGGTGCTGCACTCCATATATGTGAGCAGTACTCCATAGTTGGTCGAATCTGGGCTTTGTAGAGTGTCAGCAATTGGCTTGGTGTGTACAGATGTCTTGTACGAAATAGCACCCCCAGCTTTTGGGAGGCCCTTTTAGCAATATCTGCCACGTGACTGTGCCAAGACATGTTGGTCTCTGCAGTAACCCCCAAGATGTTCAACTGAGTCTGTAATGTGACAGCACTTCCAGATAGCATGATGCTTGGCTCACCGGTGCTGGTCTTTTTTGAGAACAGAGCTGCTTGGGTTTTCTGCGCGTTGAACTGTACAAGGTTTTTGTTACCCCAGTCCTCTATTATCTCCAGGTCGTTATTTATCTGCGATATTTGAGTTAGTCTAAGATGATGGAATTCACGTGCGGAAAGACCTGTGGGTGGTATGAGTGAGGAGACTACATTGCCATCGTCTGCAAAGCAATAAAGTGGATTTACTGTTTTATCTATGAGGTCATTTATGTACATCAGGAAAAGAGTTGGCGAAAGGATTGCTCCCTGTGGCACACCAGC